TTCAAGAAATCACACATTAAGAATAACTTTTCCTTGCTGAATTTATCCTAGATTTCACTATCTAGATGATTATAGAGATCCAAAGCAATATCCTTAATGTAATTACACACTTGATCCTTATCTTTTTGATTAGTCATTTTATCGACAAAGACTCTTTCACATTCATGCATCCATAATCCAACTAAAAATACATCAGATTTCATGGGTCCAACTTAAGCAGCAGTGTTTATTGTTTCCTTTCTGACTGATAGGATACCCTTGAAGACACGAGATAAATCTCTCATGTTGAACACGTAATGGAATTTAGCAGGTGTTGGTAACATAGTTGCTTTGACCTTATTCCAAATTTAAATGGTTGCACCAGTTAATGTATCAATAGCTCTATTGACATCAGCGGAGAAGTATTTAGCCTTGAATTAATGTTTGATGATTGGACCATAAATGCCTTCAACTGAGAGTGGCAAAATCATATTGAAAATGACTGCTTGTCTCTTCAATCTGTTGGGAATATCATTTCTACCACCTCCTGGATGTTACATAGCTCCGATGTATGTAAGGTTCTTGATACCTCTGAAATTACCTCTTTAGGCTTTGTCTAACATATAGAAACCACCCTAATCGATCAGTTGTCTAACTATTTCCAATGTGACTTAATCTCCCCACTTATTTACAAAAGGCATTGAAAGATCATCAATGAATACAGTCATGTTTTTATTTTGAGGAGGAGCAAAATCTTTACCTATTTTGAAATCACATTCAGCTTCAATGGCAGCTTAGAAGTGACTAGGTAGAGTAGCAGATGAAAAGTTGATTCTCTTGAACAGCATCTTTTCTTTGTTGAATTTGTTGGCATACATAAGTACACTTGATGTTTTGGCTGTACCACTACCTCCGACTAAGATAACATAACTGCAACTGACAGGTGGTTATGGTGATGCCTTTGGTTGATTAAGAATGTATGATAAGATCATTTCAGCTCTGAATGAATCTACAGTGGGCATGAGTAATTGTGAGAATTAGAATTTATCTGGGGCCTTCCATTCTTCTGGTGATATGAGTTTCCATTCACAAGTACCTCTTTCATCTAAGTAGATATAGTAATCGAAGACTGTTTCACCATCCTTAGCTTTGTATGGGATTGGGGCTCCTTTTTAGGCTAAGAATTCATGGAATAAGATTCTATCTTGCACTTCATAGATACCACCTACTCCCCAAGTCATAGCAAAGACAACTACTTTTTCATAATCTTATTCAGTCAATGTTTTATTAGCATTTACTAATGGTCTCAAAATACCATTCAGAAGATTTAAGGTTTAATAGACCTTTAATACATAAGATATGTCCATAACAGGATTCTTGCATGTCTTGTCTATTGTTTCTAAAATCAGATAAGTGTTAAAGTATTTGTTGAGTAAAACATTCAACTTTTCTGATTCATCTACTCTTGCATCCAATTTTCTTTATAGAATCCACCCTTTCCATACTGGTTCATATCCTAAATCTGTTGGTGAAATATAAACTTATCCACATCTACTGACTGTTGCTGGTGAAGCATTATTCAGATTTTCAACTTCAAATACCAATTTACAATTTTCTGTCATTGGAATACGTTAACCATTGGCTAGAGTAAGAATCTTGTTGTCATCCAACACTGTATTCAAGTTTTCAATCCAAATAGCATCCACTGGACCATCACAAGTAATCCAAGTAGTATGTTTGTTGTTTCTGCTATTTGATTTCTACCAAATTGTACTGAAAATACCTGGAATCCAATCATCTGAAATTTCACTCTTGACTCCATACATTTCTTAGGCTGTAATGGCTTTGGGATTAAGTCTTGTAATTCTGTGAGGAAGTCCCAAATCAGTCAATGAATCTGTCAATACTGCCATAATTGTGGTCTTACCACTGCCTGATGGTCCCACTAACATAAAACCATGTCTAACCAAAGCTGTTTCATATAATTAAATGATCTTCAATTAGAATTTATCATTGTTGATTAAACCTCCTTTTCTTTGGATGACTTATGGGATCATTTTTTCAACATCTGGATATTCCTTCTTTTTGATATCACTTTACTTAGGGAAGATATCCTGTAACAATCCATTGAACAAAGCAATATCATCAGCCACCAACTTACTCAAATTCATATCTCTCAAGGATCTCATTAAAAGCATTTCTTCATCCGATTTAAGTTCTTCTCTTTTAGTATTACCAGCTGTTCTTAACACTGATAAAATGTTACGTAAACCGAAATCATAATGTCTTTGTTTTGAAAGTTGTTCTTCACATAAACGATATAAAACATTGAACTTTTTGGCTAAGGCATCAATTGAGTTATAACCAACAGAAGCCAACTTGACTTTAATAATAATTTCTCTATCTGGAACCATCATAGACACTCCTCTAAATAAGGCTTTTAAGTTCTCTGGTAATTCTTATCTACCAGCATATCCTGGATTCATAGTAATAAAGTTAGTCCATCTTCATTCTTTATATCTTCTTTCAAGAAATCACACATTAAGAATAACTTTTCCTTGCTGAATTTATCCTAGATTTCACTATCTAAATGATTATAGAGATCCAAAGCAATATCCTTAATGTAATTACACACTTGATCCTTATCTTTTTGATTAGTCATTTTATCGACAAAGACTCTTTCACATTCATGCATCCATAATCCAACTAAAAATACATCAGATTTCATGGGTCCAACTTAAGCAGCAGTGTTTATTGTTTCCTTTCTGACTGATAGGATACCCTTGAAGACACGGGATAAATCTCTCATGTTGAACACGTAATGGAATTTAGCAGGTGTTGGTAACATAGTTGCTTTGACCTTATTCCAAATTTAAATGGTTGCACCAGTTAATGTATCAATAGCTCTATTGACATCAGCGGAGAAATATTTAGCCTTGAATTAATGTTTGATGATTGGACCATAAATGCCTTCAACTGAGAGTGGCAAAATCATATTGAAAATGACTGCTTGTCTCTTCAATCTGTTGGGAATATCATTTCTACCACCTCCTGGATGTTACATAGCTCCGATGTATGTAAGGTTTTTGATACCTCTGAAATTACCTCTTTAGGCTTTGTCTAACATATAGAAACCACCCTAATCGATGAGTTGTCTAACTATTTCCAATGTGACTTAGTCTCCCCACTTATTTACAAAAGGCATTGAAAGATCATCAATGAATACAGTCATATTTTTATTTTGAGGAGGAGCAAAATCTTTACCTATTTTGAAATCACATTCAGCTTCAATGGCAGCTTAGAAGTGACTAGGTAGAGTAGCAGATGAAAAGTTGATTCTCTTGAACAACATCTTTTCTTTGTTGAATTTGTTGGCATACATAAGAACACTTGATGTTTTGGCTGTACCACTACCTCCGACTAAGATAACATAACTGCAACTGACAGGTGGTTATGGTGATGCCTTTGGTTGATTAAGAATGTATGATAAGATCATTTCAGCTCTGAATGAATCTACAGTGGGCATGAGTAATTGTGAGAATTAGAATTTATCTGGGGCCTTCCATTCTTCTGGTGATATGAGTTTCCATTCACAAGTACCTCTTTCATCTAAGTAGATATAGTAATCGAAGACTGTTTCACCATCCTTAGCTTTGTATGGGATTGGGGCTCCTTTTTAGGCTAAGAATTCATGGAATAAGATTCTATCTTGCACTTCATAGATGCCACCTACTCCCCAAGTCATAGCAAAGACAACTACTTTTTCATAATCTTATTCAGTCAATGTTTTATTAGCATTTACTAATGGTCTCAAAATACCATTCAGAAGATTTAAGGTTT